CGAATGTACTAATCATTGTACTAATCGCCAAATGAGCATCCCTGTCACCCGTAAATGGGGACACCCCTGGTTCTTTCTCTCTAAGGCCGAAGACTCCATCACGTTTCTCACAGAGGCTGAGATTCGTACACTTCACCGACGATTTGGACACCCAGCAGTCCCTAGGCTATATCACCTTCTGAAGCAAGCTGGCCACAGCGACGTCTCGATAGGCACATTAGAGACTGTCTCTAAGTTCTGCCATCACTGTCAAATGCACTCGCAAGCCCGAGACGCTTCAAATTCACCCTCAAGGATGACCAAGAGTTCAATTACGAAATCATCGTTGATGTGATGTACCTAGGAAGCCCACAACGCCCTGTTTTGCACGTTGTGGACGCAGCCACTGCTTTCCAGGAGCAAGATTCCTACCTCAATGTCAGCTAAGGATACATGGGAGACCCTTCGGACCGCCTGGATCGACACGTACCTTGGACCCCCTGACACCATTCGACACGACGCAGGGACCAACTTTGCTTCAATGGAGTTCCGCCAAGAAGCAAAACTCATGGGGATCAAATGCTCTCAAGTGCCTGTTGAGACGCATTGGTCCATCGGAAAAATTGAAAGATATAACGCCCCCCTCCGACGCGCGTATGACATCCTAAACGCGGAACTAAGCAACGTCACCTCCGCCGAAGCAGTGCTCCAAATGGCTTTAAAGCTATTAACGACACAGCTGGACCTGACGGGATTGTTCCAACTTTGCTTGTCTTTGGCGCCTACCCTCGTTTAACTGCGGAATCGCCCCCTTCTGCTTCTACCCTGAAAAGGTCGGCCGCGATGCAGAAAGCGATGAAGACGCTCCGCCAACTCTCAGCGGAAAGACAAGTTAAAGATGCCCTTCGCACGCGCAACGGACCGTCCACCGCCGACGTTTTATCCTCCCACTGCAAAGTGAAGTTCGTGTTTGGAGAGAAAAGACGGCTGGCAAGGACCTTTCAAGATTGCTTCGATTGACGGACATAACGTCACGATTGATACAGTCAATGGCCCCCAAGTCTTTCGTTCCACGCACGTACAGCCGTACCTGCGTGATGACTCCACAATCCCTCAAGTTCCTGCCCCTGCCCAGGACGAAGAAACCCCTGCCCGACCTGACCCCCCGGCACCCCGCAAGAGAGGACGCCCACCCGGATCCAAGAACAAGCCAAAGGATTTGATCATGATGACCGCTCCTCCAGGCCAAAGTTTCCTGACTCAGAAGGAAGAAGATGCATACGCTTTATCCATCAAACTCAGGAATGAAGGCATCATCACTGCTCCCGGCGCCCCATTTGAAGAATCCGATAACATCGAGATCACTGACCTCGTAGGACGAGGTGTATTCAGCTTTGAACGATACGATCGAATGATTCACGGTAATCATCACATCTTTCGCTCCCGAATGGTTCGTGAAGTCAAAGGCAAAGACACCAAACCGTACGAGAAATCACGACTTGTTGTTCAAGGACATAGCGACTTTGAGAAGACCACCCTACTAACGCAATCTCCGACAATTCAACGCGTTAGTCAAAGACTCATTTTAGCTATTGCCCCCGGACTTCTTCAAGGCAACGGCATGACCCTTTCCCTTCGCGACATCACTCAAGCATACCCACAATCCCAAACCGAGCTATTCCGGACAATTCTGACCTATTTGCCCACCGAATTGCAAGGCAAATACCCCCATGGAACGATCATTCGTGTTATCAAGCCCCTATACGGAATTGCAGAAACTGGAGTCCATTGGTATCGTACATATCAACAACATCACCTCAAGAACCTTGATATGTCTACTTCAACCTATGATTCCTGCCTTTTGATCACAAACACCGGCCCTAACACGTTTGGCATTGTTGGAATGCAGACAGATGATACCCTTATGCTTGGAACAGACAGCTTTTCCGCCCGTGAAGAAGAAAAGCTCGAGGAAGCACAATTTCGAGCCAAACCAAAGACATCGATGACCCCAGGAACAACGGTTGACTTCAATGGTGCAAAACTTACCCTGCTGGACATAGGATCCCTATCGCTTCAGCAAAAAGGACAAGCCACCAAAATCGCCACCATTGACCCCAAAGCATTTGATCATAGCCAACGCTACGTCGAGCAACGAGCGCGCGGATCGTACATGTTGCACTGTTACACTGGCACATCAATATCTACAAGCCTCATCAACCTTTCTTTTGCAAGGCTTATTCACCATTCCCTCAGCCGAGGCATATTCGGCCGTATACTCAGCCAAGACTCATTTTGTCTTCCAGTCAACCTAGGCTAATGCAGGCAATTAACCTTCCTTTTGCCTACGCTTTTCACAGCCACAACCCAACAGCTGGGTTATTCATTCACTTCCACTGTTCTTCTAGCTATATAAGATCATTTACACTCCCTCTCTAGATAGAAGAATCAAGAGCTTTATTCCACTCAAGATTAATGCTTGCTGCCCATCTCGTACTGCAATATATATTAATAATTATTGATAAGCTTAAGTGTTGGAATACTAACCTGCTGAGTAACCCGTGCAATCGGGATACCATCACGGTTCATGCACGACTCCCACGTGACACCCTACCCCGCGATCAGGGCACGCAGCCCCGGCTGCATGCCCCATTACCGGTGCACATTCCGTTTCTTGTGAATAGCTTCCTCTTCCTAGTTAGTTACAATTGAAGTCATCACCGGTTACCCTACCTGTCGTGACTGTGACTCAGCCTACAGCTTGTGCGCATGCGTATCTGTAGGCACATAGGTGCCTACCATCACTGATCAGTGGTTCCAGGTCCCGAAGGAGCCACAGAGCAGCAAGGTAGACGAAGAGTCACCGATCTGATCCGCCTGCAATTCACCGTGCCGTTCGGAGAAAGTGATACTTTCCTCTACGGGTAGAAGAGACAAACTCCGTGATTCGTTCCGCCGAGCAACTCACCGACCGTTCGAAGACGACAAGTTTGTGCTAAGAGCAGGAGACACTCCTTATTCCGATCCGCCTTCAACTCACTGTGCCGTTCGGAAGAAAGAAGCAGAACCTACGGCTAACCTATTGCTATTCCTAACTGCCGTTCCGCCGAGCAACTCACCGACCGTTCGAAGGAAAGGAAAAGACATAGCTTAGCTGCGTCAGCAACGCATTCCGACTCCCTCGCGATTGTGCTTTAATCAGTACAATTGATTACTACCATTCACCTCCGACACTATGTCTGCAGGACCTAGCAGCAGTGCCCCGGGAGGCAGTAGTAATACCCCCGTCCCTACTATCTATATTGCTCGCGATCCCCCAAGCCAGGAGAGAGTGCAAGGATGGCTGGACAAATATACTGGCATACCGATCGACCTGTCAGACATTGACCTATCCTCTGGCACCCCTGTGAACCCAGAGGAAGAGCCAACGCCACGCCACCTGATCACACAACTCGCCCGTGCGTGGACCGACTATGAGAGAGCCAATGTAGGGAGAATCGACACTCTTATTATGTTCCAAGAGCACTTCGAAGGATGGAATAGTGCACTCTTCGGAAGGATTGAGCCAACGATTCGAGCTGCATTCGTCAACTATCTTCGTACGAAGGAAGTGATCACTGGCCCCTTGAGAAGATGCCGACATGACTATCTTCTCGCTTCCTCGTCACCGAAGAATATTGGAAACCCAGGATACCCCGGTCGCCTCCATCGACGAAGGAGCACAACCCACGCCCGCAGCGATCCCTTTGCCTCTCACCACCTATTCAACCGCCTGTACAACCTGTCCAGCAGGCCACTCAATCCGTCACCCCAACCGCTTTTACAAACGCTCCGACGAGCTACACCTTCCTCACCGCACAAGGATAGCTCCCAGGTAACACCAGCTCCCCCTATTACCTACCCCAATTCAGTGGCGATTCCCCCAAGAGCCAAGTCAGATCCGCCACAATACACCCCATACCGCACATTGCCACCACGAGACGTGCCGAACACCCCGACCAATGCCCAGACTCTCGCCCTCTTCGTCAAGATTTGGAATAAGGAAGATGCCTACTCAGGTCAACCTTACGATCTCCTTGACGATAAGATCAGGAACTTCCTAACCACCTGCCGTTCGGTTGAAGTCCCCGAGAGCCAGCTACACGCCTTTCTCCCCCGCGCCCTTACAGGTCGAGCAAAGACCTACTATGACCTTTATCTTGACCCAGACCTCACGTTCGCCGCCGCTTACCGACAACTTAAGCAACATTTCGATACCAACGTGAATCTGGAGCATTACCATACGGACTGGTCAACTATCACCTTCAACAGTGTCCGTAGCAAGCACAGTGACAAGGACCTCCACGCTGTGCTTGATATAATGCTTGACAAGCTCCAATTGTGTCAACGAGCGATTGGGCCGGAAATAGCTGGCGAAAGCAACCTCCGCAACGCAGTCATCCACGCTTGCCGTGGAACGCCTGAGCTCAAGCAAGCCTTGTACAAAGCCCCGCCCATTGCGAACAACTCTTTGCCGACCTCCGCGCCTCTATTGAACTTGCGATCACGGACAACGGTAGCACCCAATGGTATACCGACCGCAAGTATCAACAGAATAGACCCCCCTTCCGCAACAATAACAGCGCGAACCCCAAACGACAGCCGCAGAGAAAGAAGGTGTGCTTCATCTGCGGCAAAGCTGGCTGTTGGTCTACCAAGCATACCATAGAAGAACGGAAACAATCACGGATGTATTTCCTTAATGCCCACAATGCCTCCGACACGACCCCGGACTTCGCCATGTTCCTCGCCGAATTCGAAGGTCATGAACTTGACGAGACCCTGTCCCTGACTATGATACTGCCAATGAAATTGACGATGAAGACCCAGCGATTGGCTCGCTGTTCTTCACGCAATCATTCCTCGCAGATTACGCTGTTTTACACCGTCTGACTAAGGAAGATGCCTATAGCGCTCCTCAAAAGGCCCCGGCACAACAATTCCTTGTCGATGACCGTTACACAACGCGTTATCAGGGCATCATGCTCGACACAGGTGCTTCCGACGTTTCAACCGCTGGCCTAGACCAATTCCATGCCTGGCAGCGCGAAGACCACTGCGCTACCCTCGATACCACCCGCGCAGGCCAGGCAGGCATCTCCTTTGGAGATGGACCCCGGATTGTGTCTGTCGGTGCGACCGCGATTCGCACGGCATTCGGGCCCGTTGATTTCCACGTTCTTCCCACTAAGACCCCGTTCCTCCTCTCCCTAGCCGATATGGACCGGCTAGGCTTTTTCAACAATCAGACCAACGAAGTCGTCCGCGATGACATTCGCGTTCCCGCAGTACGTAAATGGGGCCACGCATGGTTCCATCTAGGTGAAGAAGAGACTGCGAGAGTATTCCTGACCGAACGCGAATTGCGACGACTTCACCGACGATTCGGTCACCCGGCCACAGCTAGACTCCACCGACTGCTTAGATGTGCCGGGCATGATGATATTGATGAGCAGTCAATCCGTGAGATCACGAGGATGTGCCACCACTGTCAAATCAACGGCACCTCCCCCCAACGCTTCAGGTTTACCCTTAGAGACGACCGCGAGTTCAATTTCGAGATAACCGCGGATGTAGTCCAAATAGGCGGAAAGCCTGTGCTACACGTGATCGACGAAGCCACAGCGTTCCAAGGCGCCAGGTTCCTCCCCTCGATGACCGCCCGAGACACCTGGGAAACGCTACGGATGCTGTGGATAGACACCTACCAAGGCCCCCCGGACTTTATGCGCCACGATGCCGGCACTAACTTTGCAGCAGAGGAGTTCCAAAAAGAGGCATCGCTGATGGGTATCACTTGCAGGCAGGTGCCTATCGAAGCCCACAACTCGATTGGAAAGGTAGAAAAGGCACACGGCCCCCTCCGCCGCGCCTACGATATCCTCCAAGCAGAGTTGGGTGAGTCGAGAAGCCCAGATGCCCTCCTCCAAATGGCTGTAAAGGCAGTCAATGACACAGCCGGCCCGGATGGCCTTGTCCCTACCCTCCTCGTCTTCGGCGCATACCCACGAATCAACCACGATTCACCGCCCTCTCCCCCTATGATCAAGCGCGCAGAGGCTATTCGGAAAGCCATGGCAGCTCTGCACCGTGCTGCCGCTGCCCGTCAGGTTAGAGATGCCCTCAACACGAGGAATGGACCAAATGTAGAGCGCGCTGCAGAGCTTCCCCTGCAGAGCGAGGTCCTCGTGTGGAGAGAGGCTGACGGCTGGACCGGCCCGTGGATCGTTATCGGCAATAACGGCCACGAAATAACAATCAATCATGTCAATGGCCCCCGCAACTTCAGGATCACAGCGGTCAAGAAATACCACCGTGATCCTCAGGCCCCCTCATCACAACCCCACGACGACTCGCAGCCAAATCCCCGACGAGTCGACCCCAATGCACCCCCTAACCCCGATCAAGATGATGCCCCTGCCCCTGTGCTCCTACCTGAACAACGCCGACGAGGACGCCCCAAAGGCTCCAAGAACAAGCCCAAGACCGGCGTAGCCAACCTGTCAAAGAAGGAAGTTAATCACTATGATCACGCTGTTCAATTGCGCCGCGAAGGCCACATCACCACACCAGGTGCCCCTTTGAACAGTCCGATACCCAAGAGATTAACAACCTAATCGCACAGGGTGTGTTTGAGTTCATTCGTTTCGACCCGTGGCCCACAAAGGCCAAAGACTCTTTAAAGCACGCATGGTCCGCGAAGTTAAAGGACTCGGACCAACCACAAGGCCCTACGAGAAATCCCGTCTCGTCATTCAAGGCTATAACGATCGTGATAAAGAGAATATCCTTACCCAGTCGCCGACCGTGCAACGGCAGCACAGCGGCTACTCCTCTCAATTGCCCCTCCTCGCAGGTGAAGCCTCCGTCTTCCTGCGTGATATCACACAAGCATATATTCAGTCCAAAACCCCTGAATCGTACGATACTCGCACGCCTCCCAGCGGAATTAGTGCCCGCTATCCCCAGACACCATCATCCATGTCATCCTTCCCTGTATGGCATAGCAGAGTCAGGTCTCCATTGGTTCGTGACATATTATAGGCATCATCGTGAGCGCCTCGGTATGACACATTCCACCTTTGACCCCTGCTTGTTGATCTCCAATGATCAAGCCGCCGGCTTCGGCATGGTCGCTATGCAGACGGATGACACCTCCTCCTCGCCTCCCTGAGTTCGCGGCCGCAGAAAGAGAGATCCAGAAGGCTAAGCTCCGCTCGAAACCAAGGAGCCAGCTATCGGCCGCGACTCCTCGAGTTTAATGGTTTCACACTTCTAGCCGAAAAAGACGACCTTATCATCCAGCAGAAGGGCCAAGGCCAGAAGTTAGCCACCATCTTTCTCTCCTCCACGGATCGCGCGCAGCAATACGCCCAACAGCGCGCGCGCGAGCATATATCGCATCAATCTGCCAGCCCGAGGCCACGTTCGACTACTCAGTCGCAGCACAAGTGCAGCAGCCGGAAGCCCCGGACTACAAGACCCTGAACAAGCGGATACAATGGCAGACCGACAACCTGCAACGAGGACTCCGCTATGTTCCTTGGCCTTTTCGACTGCGAAGCTAATGGTATTCACGGACGGTTCGTTCGCGAACAACAAAGACCTAAGCTCACAACTGGGCTTTGTTATTGTGCTCGCCAACGAGGAACAGAGCCCTGCTGATTTCACGATCAGAGGCAATGTCCTGCACTGGTCATCTACGAAGAGCAAGCGAGTGACCCGGAGCGTGCTAGCCTCGGAGATCTACGGCATGGTCCAAGGTTTCGATATGGCCATTGTCATCGCGACCACCCTGCAGGCTATTGTCAAGCAGCTGGACCTACCCCGACTCCCTCATTGTCTGCACCGACTCATACTCGCTATACGAATGCCTCGTAAAGCTCGGGACCACGAAAGAGAAGCGACTCATGATTGATATCATGGCGCTAAGGCAGTCCTACGAGCAGCGCGAGATGGCAGAGATCCGTTGGATCAATGGGGATGACAACCCGGCTGATGCGATGACCAAAGCAGCACCCAACCGTGCTTTGGAACGGTTGATTGAGACGAACAGGCTGACGATTCGAGTGGAAGGATATGTACAACGACCCGTGACCGCAGACACCACCTAACGACAAACGACTCCATGATGACGAGCCTCCTTCATTGAGACCGGAATGAGGGGCAGGCACGGCAGGCTTCGAATTCCATCACGGAAAGAAAAGACTGCCTGTGTTGGAATACTAACCTGCTGAGTAACCCGTGCAATCGGGATACCATCACGGTTCATGCACGACTCCACGTGACACCCTACCCGCGATCAGGGCACGCAGCCCCGGCTGCATGCCCCCATTACCAGGTGCACATTCCGTTTCTTGTGAATAGCTTCCTCTTCCCTAGTTAGTTACAATTGAAGTCATCACCGGTTACCCTACCTGTCGTGACTGTGACTCAGCCTACAGCTTGTGCGCATGCGTATCTGTAGGCACATAGGTGCCTAACATCATTAAGAATACATAACAATATGGAGAATCCGTAAACAATACATAACAATATGCCAAAAGTATGTATTTATTTATTATTTAGATGTCTGCCGATCCGAATGCCGGCCTCATTTTTTCCAAATCTCCGGCACAGCGGCCGACAGCACTTAGACTAAGGGGCCCGGCGTCAAAGACAACGCGTACGGAAGCGGCAAGACCGTTCAGAGGGAGCTTCGCGGCGACTCTCCCTCAGACATACAAATGAGCAGATAGTACTCGATACGTTGCTTCTTGCTCTGGAGACGTCTTCGGGTATGATAATAGTGATACATGTATTACTCGAATAGGCTATCCAATAACTTTCAAATGAGATTTCTATTGCCTAGTGCAACAACTCGTCAAACAATTGCTTCACGTGATATATATGTGTTCGAGCGGAGGGACGAGTATTTTTTCGTAGAATACGTAAAGACTGCTGCAAAGTATGAACCAGCCCCCCGTCACTCCGGCGGTGATTTTAGCTGTCACAGACCAGTGTCCGCCGTGCGTCGTGTAGACGTTCAACAGAGTCGACAAAGGCCCATAGCTGAGTTCATCAGGATGGGTCTACATTGAGGAAGGGCGATATCAGAGGCAACTCCTCAGTTGAAATCAAGCTATTTATGACTCTAGACTTACAGAAGGATGCGTCGCTGGACCCAAATGTAATTTGTCTGAAGCTTCCACCAGAGCCATAGCAGCCCAATCGTTGAGGACAGGCAAAAGAGCGAAGCAAAGACGGTGAGTGGCACATCGCGCGCCAGACTGTCCACCGAATGACCGATGGCGCCCGCCTTTTCAAGTACTGAAGACTTACGGAGCGAGGCGAATGTGGACGGGAAGACAAGGTAGCCGGCAAGGAGCAGCCACGAGCGCGCTCGCAGCGATGTTGTATTTGAGGGCGTATTTTCAAATTCGCACAACATGGCCACGTATGCTGTCATACGCGCAGGTCGTTCGTCCGACGAAGCGCCATATCGTTCACGGCTCGCTTGGCCAAGGCTGTCTGTACAGTTCTTGATATTACTCAAAGGGCTTTCGTACCATGCGAGTCCATAATAATGAGGTATGTATATAGACACTTCCACAACACGCGACTCGTGTGAAGACCAAAGAGCTTCCTTGTGATGGGGAAAGGCAGATCGACAGCTGACGTCAGATGGTGAAATCACCCTTCTTTATTGCTTTCTCGTCCCTTTTAAGGGGGGATGGGCCGTTATTTCTCCAAAAAGTGATTATCGAAGCCAGCGCCATATCATGCGCAATAAGAGCAATGGCCGTCTCTGGAGGCAAAAGCAAGATGAGGATAAGGCGAGCCGTCCCGTTGGGCCTCATATGGCGCCCTCGCAAGCGGGATTAGCTAATGGTCCAGCCTGCAAGCAATACGATTGCAAAACCAGCGTTTTTCTGGCGAACTCGGCCGCTTTCAGCGCGGCAGCTCAACGCCGCCCAAGTCAGCGGTCAAAGTCTTCCTCACCGACTCGTGAACAGGAAATGAGGGCTCTTACGATACCTGTATCGCCCGATCAGGCAGAAGATCTCCAGAGCTTCGCCGGCGACGAATCGAACGTTCTGCTTATCGATCTCATAGCCGAAATGAGGCGGGTGAATGGGAAACTCAATTTGGTACTTCAGAGTCCGGACTTCGCCGTTGCGAATTGGGTCGCAGTGTAGCAGCAGCGCCACGCACTCTATCAGATTATTCGTGGAAGGAGATTCTTCCACTCATGAGGTAGAAAACCGAGAGTCTTTCGTGGCACGTTTCACTCGCATCTGGCGTTGGGGTCCTAGATGATGACGAGGCAGAGCGACTGAGGCACTTCTTCAGAGGGCAAGTCGAAAAGAACCGAAGTGAGCATGCGCGACCGAGACCGAGACAATATCCCAGAAATTTTCGTACAGGACGATCGACACCGTGGTGACACAGATAGTGCAGGGTAACGTCCCATATGTTCGAAAGTACCTTGGGACCCATTCCGATGCGAAAATCTTTCTGCATGGAGTTGACTCATGGGACGGGCTGCTTAGCGAGGCGTCCGATGATGAGGACGAGAAGACAAGCTTGAGGGAAGCCGCGGTGGAGATATCTGGGACGACTGCTCTGCACATGGCTGCGTGCGAGCAGTACCTAAGACGGTTGACCTTCTTCTCTCCAAGGGTGCCAATGCGAACGCCGCAGACATCAACGGCCGCACTCCTCTCATGGAGGCAGCATTGTGGGGCCGCCTGCAAAACGTAGAGATCCTATTGAGGCACGGGGCCGACAAGTTTTTGGCATGCATCGAGCGGGACCGTCTTATGCTTCCTGTCGACTTTGCGAGACCGCTGAGGGAGAAAGCACAGTCCCGACGGTTATGTGAAGGTGGCTCTTCGAGCGCTGAGTACATGGAAAAGGAAGAAAGGAGTCCGCTAAATGAGTGAAGGTGACTTAATGGATATCATGTGATCCAGAGTGCAACACGCGGCGAAATCAGAAACCAGTATGGCTCAAGGGCAACAAGTGCGGAGACTGCTGTCGTGATTGCTGGTGTTTATTCCGTGCCTTACGAGGTCCAGTGCGTGATATGAAAATGGCTGATTTCGGCTGTGTTAATTAATAGAAGCCTCAGGCTTTTCCAGAGCCAACATTGTCATAAAGCAGCTTAATGCACTTGGCTGATACTTGCTGTTTCCCCCAGAAGAGCTCTGTGTATATATAATGGGTATGAACACCACATGACTGAAGAGTTATGTGCACACAGCTCTCCTATAAGTCCTTGAAAAATGGTTGCTTCGGCTCTGACAAGAACTCCATACGATATTTTCATTCAAATCGTGAGCTACCTCTCACCGTTATCGAAAGACTCGCTTTTCAAAACGCAGAACCACCGCGAAGTTCCATCAAGGATCAAGGAATCTGCAAGTATATGGGCCCATTTGTTCAAGGACGAAGCTTGGCTTCAAGAAGTTGTTGATATAACATATGGGCATATCAACAAACAACCAGTCCCGTGCTTGATCGGCAAGGATCTCATCAAAGTCTCCAAGGGAAAGACACAAGGAGCGTACCTAGCATTGCTCACTAACGACTGGGGCGGGGACGTTCAATTCACAAAGCAAACCCTATTTCATTCCTTGAAGCCCCACACATTCGATAAAGCCAATTCAGAGGTTCACCTTGAGGGTTCTGGAATTACCTTGCATATTTACGATGCTATTAGATCGTCTGAGTCCCTATCGATCCAAGATCCAGCAAGACTTCTTCGCCGAGAGGGACGTGGGGTGTCGACATATGCTATTTACTACGATAACCAGTCTGTCTTAGAGAAAATTGGGCACCGGCTAATTCAAGGGATCGAAGGGGTAACGTGGAAGAGGAAAAAGGCGGTTCGCGAAAGGTTTGCTATCGTACTTCGCCACCGTGATGGTCAGTCTGTTAAGCGATTCCTCGAGAGCCCGACTAAGACGATTAACTTCTTCTATACGCGGCGTCAAAGTGGTACATGGGATGGGTTTAGAGTAGCTCGACCCGGCGAGAGAAAACTGGTAGAATTTGCTTGGCTCATTATCTCGACTCGGCAGCTTTTTGTCAAAGGAAATGAGAGATGCCATGCATATGACGGTTATAGAGAGTCTATTGGCCTTAACCACTGCCCAAGTCAAGGGGACGAAGGTCCCAGTTATATACACAAGAACGGTGCCCATGTGGGTCGAGACACGTCCTCGACTGAGGCGGAATGTCGTTTGACACTCTTGTCACATTTGCCCGGCCTCAAATTGCACAGAACCTCTCGATCAGACATCGCAGCACTTCGCCGCAACTAGCCCTTTCTCATGCAGAGCAATAGTAAGGGCGGCTATCGGAAATTATGTGGAGTTTGATTATCCATCTGAAGTCATTCGTCAAGGATACTAAGTCGCCGGCTGCTGAAAATGAGCGGCCTGTTTGTAATGTATTATCATCGGTTTCCAGCGTTCGGTTGCTGGCCTAATCAACGGGATACGGCTTGTATCCGCAAGTGATCTCTGACCTATTATTCTCAGTCTTGATCTACCGGAACGTTTGTGCCTTAAACATACGGTGCGATTTAGATCTGGTTGGTAAGTCCTCCCCACCAGGAACATGAGCTGCGCAAAGCAATCGGCGGCGCATTGGATTAGCATAGATTAAAATCGCCATGGTATTTCCGATTTCGCCCAATTCGATGATCTTCTTCTCAAGCGAAGAGCCCGACTTTCTAATCTTGTTCTTTTGGTCTGACTTTACTCATACGTATCCCATAACGAGAGTTGAGGCTCATACGTCGATGCTTTGCTATGGTTCACCATCGCTTGGTCAGCTTGGCACTTCCCAGTAGTCTACGGCGTTCCAAGCACGCGAATACGGTACTGTTGGTGGAACGTTATGCCAATACACATCGGAATAAGAAGGGGGTCACACACGAAGGTTCAAGATGCATGTTCTATGTCTAAAGGGGCAGTCTGAAGGGGCTATTTATACAGGAGGTCTTAGGGACTTCTGGGGACCTCCTGAGTAATGGGCTCTACCCACGCATACGTGGCTGTGCCCACGCATAAAGGGGTAGCCTTCCTTACTCAGGAAGTCCTCATGCGTTCCTGCTACATAGGCCAGGAATCCCTTCTCCGGGTCCCTGGACCCTCCTTAACAGGGCTACCCTGGTCCACCGACAGGTACCTATTGAGCCTTAGTTTAGAGTTACTGCAGCAATTATACATACCGGCCAATTCGAGGGCCAAATATTGAGCACCGACAGTGTTTCATATGAGCTTAAGGCGGCAGCTGTTTCTGTCTCCAAACCACCTTGATGGTGTGAATGCAATAGAGTCACCCCGCGGCTCGCTTGAACCTTGACAAGGAATCAGCTCAAAGTAGCGGCACGTCCAAGCGTAATGGCCGGCAGCGTATCCATGGCTGAGCCAGAAGCGGTGGACATGACGAAACAAACCTTCAGAAGGCCATTGAGGCATTCGACCACGTGATTTAGAAGATTGAAGAGGTACGGGTGCTTCTCATTTGAGCTGAAGAAGCTATGGGGAAGGAAACGGACAGAGCAGGCACATTTGAAGCAATGAGTAAGTTTGGAAGGGAGGTCTGGATGGCCTGCGCGAGCTATACAGTAGCAAGGGACTCCATATGAGGTGCAGGTTGAACCTCAATGGGTCAAGGACAACCGAGGCGAGGCGAAAAGGACAACGTGAGAAACGAGTGATGAGCTCCAATATATCGGTGGCGGCCGTGAAATGGAGTTAGTAGCAGGGTTAGATGCGTGATATAAGCCTCGAGGACTCTTTCGAGAAGATCAAAGCGAGACATGAAGCATGAAGGATCTATGCTGTGCTAACCATTACTGTAAGGAAATGGAAGCACACGATGTGTCACGGCACCAACCTGGGTTCTGTCACGTGCCTCCTATACTTAGTCTAGACTCTGTTCCACCTCCGTAGTTTGCCCTCCTCACAGCACAACATAGATCTTCCTGGCATCCTAGGTCTGCCCCGTGATACGATGGATTATGGAATGGCTGCAGTCCACTTAGTAGCCCCGCAAAGGAACACATGCTTTTGCGGACGCCATCCCCAATTCATTGATAGCTTTCTCGTCTAACTCGACTCTGGCCGTGTCGTAGCTTGATACACCCACAAAATCCGACGGATAGTCGCGGCCTTCCGTAGCGTCATCGCGCAGCCTGGTCTTGACGCTCGAGCTGCTGCACTACGTAATGTGACACCCCAAAGAGAGTGATTCATTTCTGACGTCGTCGGTGGCTGCGTCGGCATTCTGTAACTTAACGATTTTCTTCCGGGACAGCGGGAAGCGCCTGTTGAGCATAATGAAGGTTGAAATTGGCCATTCGCATTTGTTCTAGGAACGGAAGCTACAGGACTCCCCAACAGTAACTAATGCAATACAATGCAAGCGAGGTTGAGGAAGAGTCGCTGAATCTGGAATGACGAGGTTTAGAACGGCAATGTTTGATGGTTTGATATGGCAAGGATTTATTTGGCATGGTTTGACGTGGCAAGGTTTGATGCGGCAAGGTTTGATGTGGCAAGGTTTGATGTGGCAAGGTTCGACGTGGCAAGGTTCGACGTGGCAAGGTTTGAGATGGCAAGGTTTAATGTGGCAAGGTTTGATGTGGCAAGGTTTGACGTGGCAAGGTTTGAGATGGCAAGGTTTAATGTGGCAAGGTTTGATGTGGCAAGGTTCGACGTGGCAAGGTTTGATGCGGCAAGGTTTGATGTGGCAAGGTTCGACGTGGCAAGGTTTGACGTGGCAGGGTTTGAGATGGCAAGGTTTAATGTGGCAAGGTTTGATGTGGCAAGGTTCGACGTGGCAGGGTTTGGATGGGTACCCCCACCAACTGAACCTAACTGGTGCATTCGCGCTAATTCCAGAAGCTATTTAAGGTTACGTAGCGCCGGCTGCTATAAGTCTCGGGTTTCAGGAACCCTTCCCCCGACTTTGACCACAATCCTTTCACTGAGCACCGGAGGCCGGTTGATGGCCCACCTTCCGCTTCCCTTACCGTCTCAAAAGCATTGACTGGGCTCAACCCTCGTAGCGGATTACTTATTCGAAGTCTCAGCTTCTTCCAGAGCGAAGTTCCTCGATTGCAGACGACCTATAAGCTTCCACTGCAGCGAGTGTCTGGGCGGGGGTTCAATCCAATGTCACGAGAATGGCGGCCTGTTCAGCGGCGAGGAGGCAAGGGGAAAAGGCTAACGTTGGTGATTGCTGAAAAACTTAAATCTGACGAGAATGCATTACTACGTCGAATTCAAGGTGCGAGCCACAAATTTGTCATGAAACTTTACGAGCTCGTTGAAAAGTTTCCACACGAGGACTTGGACGCCATCTTTTCCGCCCTAGACAGGGCTCGTCTGGAACGAAAACGGGGTAAACCAAGGCGCAAGGATACATGGACGCCGATAGACTGCGAAAAAGCCGAGCAAGTTCTCTTGCGAGACGCCTCGCCAGAGCGCTACGACCTCACCTACAAAACCCTTCGGGTGCTTCAAAATATTGGCCTGGTAAAACCATGACAGTCAATGTCGATACGGCTGGGTGGGATGGAGAGCCACACCTAATGACACAGCTATCATCGTCCTGGTGCTAAATATCGACAACCAAAAGGCCCTAACAGTCATCAACCGAGATCGAAGCTTTGCAACCATCTACGGATCAGGATCAGTGGCGAACTACGACATTGCGGGAACGGTCAAAGAGTTTTGCTTAAGCTATCTTTCGCTCCAACCCGATATCTCATTCGACTCTTTATCCTGCCACCAACCTAACGACGGCCCGAATGATCCTGGCCGTACTTGCGACTGTAGGAACGAGGCTGCTCGCGATCTTTATCTTGCTGTTAGTGGTTTGCGTAGCGTCCTAGGCATGACCATCACGGCATGCATTAATGCCTCTGCTTGGTCTCGTCTCTTTTCAACCCTGCTGACGTCGCGCGATGAGGACGGTCAACGAGGGCAGATATCGGACGAGATCTACCCCGCCAATCTACTCGATCACTTCGAGGAGCTTGGTCAAGGGATCTTCAAGGTTGCACGCCCAGACTTACCCGCGTTTAGCTGCCAATCGCGTATAGAGCGCCGCGACACTAAAGCTCTCCTTCCGCTGCAGTCGGAAAATACCTGGGCTATTGCGATCATTAGCAGCGGCCACGCAGCCGTCATCACCAGCGCCTCGACAGAGTCTATGCGAAAAGAGATCCTAGACAAGGCCCGGCATAGCATCGAACGTTACCCGTGCTTTCGGGGTGCGACACTGAGCGAGATAGCACACCCCCCCTTGACTGAAGACTTCAACCTCTGTCTCCTCCTTGAAGCTTTTTCCATTGCCATGAACGTTGAGATACAGGCTCCGATTGATCAAAACCTTTGGCGGGGATTTTTTCACCACTTGACAATACCGCTCAGAGGCGAACGCAATGCCCTGCAGCTACAGCGTCCTCTTCGCCCGGCAAAGACACGACACGTCGTGTGGGTCGGCATTCCAGCTGGCGACGGAAGCATCCGGGAAAACTCGTTCATCCACGTCCGTGTTTGCTTTAAAGACCTGGAACTCTTCAACGACCACTGTTCTCCATTTCAGTCAGTTTCCGAACACGTGGTGAAAGATCTCGAAGCCAGACTTGGATCTTCTTTCATTGAGTACGATAGTAACGGTGTGGTGTTCATACACCAGTCAGTCTTGATGATGCTCTTTGCTGTCCACATATCTTCCGCAACCGTCGATTTCTGCAACTGGAAGCTGGATGAACAGAACTTGATACATACGGTGCAAAATTCTAGCTGCGATGAAGTTCTTGTATATGTATCCGACACGAGCTGCGACACATCTGGCCTAGTGAGAAGGCTCTACGACACCACTGATTACTTGGAGGCTGTGATGGGTAATATGCGAGTCTACCCAAGCAAAACGGAACTGTCCTGGTGCCGGAATAAGGTAGGCGACGTCAGGGTAATGGACGACATCGCTGCGAAGCTGCAGACCTGGCGACCAAGGACGTGCTTCGGAAGGGGCCACTGTGCACTCCGTGATGTAGAGAGCGGTCTTATGGTCTTGAAGAGAAGCTACAGCTGCGCTGGGGTTCACGTTCATGTTGTCCCTGTCACACAACGCGGGAAGCTGCTATGCACGACTCCGACGCAAGATCGAGTGGCTAGGCGCACCAAGCCTACCAAACGCGCTCAACGTTCGGGTGTGCGAGAACAAGGTATATTCTATTTCCATCAGGAATTTATTCCGACATTTAGGAAAATTGGCGAGTTCAGGGTCATGGTGTGCGGGGGACAAGTGCTCGCTGCCTTCAGAACAAAAGAAGATTGGGATGCGCGTGCCAAGCCGATGGCTCTGCGGCAACTCCAACTCAGCGACTTCAACTGGCACTCCCAGGACGATGAAACTGCCAGAAAGCAGAAGCGAGATGAGCTCTTGGATTTCGTACTGGAAACCGACACTCAGATTCGTCAATTAAAGGGCGAGAGGTTCGAGACTGTACATGTTGGAGCGCGATACGATTGTGGAATATCACCGGATGGTCATTTCTTCGTCAGCGAGCTGACACGTTTCACATTTGCGGACACTTTCTCGGGGGAGTTGGCGCCCCCGTACGATCAGATAATTGGACCGCTGGCGCGAATGATTGCTCGGGTGCTCTTGGCGTAAGGGGTTTACATTGTTATTGAGCAATAGGTAGACGATACATCGGAGCCGGAAGGGAATGATAATATACATGCGCGTATGTATGTATTTGTTTCTAAAGCTCCGTTTCTTTTCGAAGCGCGCTGGCACCGATGAGCATCGGCATGCGCACACTCTACCGCCTTCCAGTATTATCGTCCTCTCGAGGATATCCGAACCCGGCATCTTAAGTCAAAATCAGGCTATACTTCTCTAAATACTCCTTGGACTGCCTTGGCAATAGCTTTGTTGCTCGTTCAGGCAGCTCCAACGTAGTGTTAAACTTGCAACTAGGCAAAGGTATGTCGTCGGACAGGAGTGTTTTGGTGAAGCAGGCAGCCCCGACATGCAGACCTACCCACCCACTGTACCCGCAAACGCAACTTTCCCCACGACCGTGTGGCTTATGACTCAGGTGGTCTGTCTGGCACCTTGCCCTTCTTACGCACATGTGGGTCACTTTGCCAGTACGTTAGAACAGAGGCGTTGTTCTTCTGCTGGATTTTCTCCTCGGGTTCCCAAGTTTCTGTGCCATCTCCCACTGGCAAGAGAGCTGAAAGCTCCGAAGGAGCTGTTCTTGCCGCTTCGATACACGCGATGACCGACGATCGTATCGAGCTTTGGTCCAGCTTTGTCGGTTGGGGAGTAGTATTCGGTATCACGTAAGTGGTAGTCATCGCACTCGCTCCGCCACCTACTTTTCACTGTCCTTTCGACGTACCATTTCGCTCGGGACGCAGGATACCCGACATTTTGCACGAGAAACTTGGATTGACCGTCGTCGCGAAGATCGTGTCCCACAACCAGAATGGCATGGGGGACACCATCCTCATCTGTCGCTAGCGGGCGCTTCCACAACTCTCGTCCCACCTCTTTTTGGTCTGTCGTAGAGCTTCCCCCTCACCCCGCAACCCCAGTACGTGCACACTGCAGCAGAGGCCGCCCTCTGAACGACAGACTCGCGTATCCAATAATATTTGCCGTCCCGCAGGAGGCAGTACAGCTCAAAATATGGAGTGACTTCTTCGTTGACTTCGGGTTTCCGGTGGCTCTTGATGTACTGCAGATTCTCATTCAAATCGTCGATCTGGAGTTTGGAGTATTCTGTTGAACCGTCGCTGACGTTTGAACCCTGGTCTGGAGCTCCTTTAGCGCCGCGAGTAAGTGGCTCGTCGGAGAATATAGGGGTTGCACCTTCGCCGCCACTGAGATTTTCGGTATCGGATACCTCGTAGTTGGACTTTTTCTGCCTCTTGCTGGCTCGTCCGAGGGGGCTGTCGTCCTGCTGAGATCTTTGAAACTTCGATAGCGCCGAATCCCCAGCTTCTCGGCATTTTGCATCGTCACAATCGACACCGCTTCCAAAGTCGTTGTCACTGTCGCTTTTATTGCGTCGGTTTCTGCGAAGCGATGCTTTTGGCGTGCTTTGGCCGGTGAGTGGATTTCGGCTCGCACGAGCTTGGCTGGCTCCGGTCGTTGTGCTGCCGGTGCGGACTTTTGGATGCGTGCTTTTGTTTCTCGCCATCATTCTAGGGTCTGTCGTGGGAACTCTAACTGTCGGCGTGTTCTTGAGCGTTGCCTTACTTCCTTTTGCTCAGAAACAATGAATTTTCGTCTGGCGGGGACAGCTTAGACCGGCTGGAATGCGGCTCCGTGGCTGTACTGTAACGAATAACCGCAAGAGAATCTAGCATGCGTCCCACGGTCCGTCTCGGCCCTCTTCCCCCTTCCACTTTAGCGTTGATGCGCTATTGGCTGCCGTTGGCTGCCGGCCCCATGTAACCTTGGCCCCCTGGCTCCCATCGACACACGCGGAAATGGCCTGTTTTGACTTTGGACTTTCTGCCGAGCTCTCCACTTTCCTTGCTAATTGGTTTGGAGCTGGAGGGTCTTCACAGCGCGCTGCATATGAGCGGATTTTGCCCGCGCTGCCGATGAAGTGTGGCGTGGCCAAACCGATGCAGAGTGCCCAATCCTAGCCACGGGTCTGCAGGTTGAGGTAGCACTAGGTGTGCAGGGCTGTCGGGGCCCAATTATGGCTACGAGATACGAATAGGAAGCGGTTCCGCTGCTTGTCTCCACATTTGACTCCAGTGATCAGCGGGCCAGAAGTGACACCCCTCTTCGGGCCTTGCTCCTTTGAGTGCGCGAAGGCCGGTCTGAGGTTACCGGGCCCATATTAAGTCGAGACATATGCCTAAGCAAACTCTTGCTACTGATTGCTGCATTTGCTGGGATTAAGAAGTATTTGTTAAGCCGACGGTACCTAGTGTTTAGTGAGATTCGCGAGAGATACCAAGTATAGCTGCTATATGGTATGTTCATTGGCTAACATCTCTGTAAGTGACCTTCGACCGGCCTTCGCGCACTCAAAGGGATAGGGCGGGCTGACAGGGTAATTAGCGTCATGCGCCAACCTGACGTGACTCAATTCAGGGCTGCAGATATAATCGTAGGCTTTAACCGTGCCGTACCTTCCTCTCTCCACCTTCTGCTCCACTTTCTCTCGTCCCCTGCAGAAACCTGTTTTTCCCCTATAAGTGCAAAATATGGTCCAGGACGAGGAAGGCGGCGGCAATAAAGAGTGCGTTTCCCCGTTCCGCTTTGGTCCTTCATGGCTCGTGATTGGTGAGCCCTATCGTTGCATTGTTGGTCTGCTGTGCTGCTAATGGATCATCGCAGCCGTTGGTGGGCTCCACTTTAACATACTGGGATGCACTAGCGTATCACAGAGCATGAACCAGACGGGAGGAACGTCATCTGGGCGGCTATGGAAGCTGAGTGCGATCGATAAGAGCTAGCGTAGGATTTTGAGAGTGACAGGTCAGTCTGCAGGTCCAGGCAGCATGCAAAACACATGTCTGTAGGTTAGTTGGTTCCCACCAACTGGAGCAACCCTACATACATTCGATGCGTAGCACGTGAATGCGGCTCGCTGTGCCTCCCTTCCTCGCTCCACCTCTTATTGCGAAGCGGCAGTTGGGGCAGTATTACTCGTCTTCGCTTATCGATATGGAAGCCAAATAGCTCACGACTGTCGCCCGGTTCAGTTCAAAATACGACATGCTCACATGTAGACGCAGTCTTCGCCGAAACGGGAGCCATGCGCCTCGTATATGCGTATGACTCCGTTACTAGTTGCAAGGCCGCAACAAACCAAGAACCAACAACCGGCCTTTAAGACCAATCGGAGGTGTCCCGCCCCTGTAGGGCCTTCACTGCCTACCTAACCATTATCCTTCAGCACGAGCGTGCATTTCCATAACCTGCTGCCATAGGTGTTAATAATGCCCCTGCCTACCAATCAAGCCTGAGCAGCTGCGTCTCGGGCTTGCTATGGTGTCGTGCAGCCGTGCAATTCAACTACCTACCGATTATTTCGAGCGCCGTTTTTGATCAAGTGTCATGAAAGCATCAGGGGATAGGGTTCTGCCGTAAGAGATGAATGTACGGCTCACTGTTGTTGGATACTTACCTGTGATTGTCGAGTGTTTAAAAATGGGCCACTAAAGTTTTACCCTACTTAAGCAGCCTGGTGTAACGAGTGAGTCCGCGTGCATCTCGTGCAACCATTTCTAGGTTCTCGGGAGATGAAGTGAGACTGTTGGTCGAGAAGCATTGAGGAGGGGGCAGAACGGTATCAAGAGAGAAACAGTGTTGGAGCTACTGATGTAGGTGTCGAGTACTTATAGGCGTCGGCTGGAGACGTTTTGATCTCTCATCTCTTCTACTCTGTTCACTTATAACGATGTCAGACACCTATCAGTATCAAGTACAGCAGAGTGCTGTGGCGGATAACTCGCAAGATTGCAGTTTGCTCCCGCAGCAGTATCCGGCCTTGCAACGCCCTCCTACCCTTACCCCGTCAGTATATAAACCACGTTCCACAACAGCACTCTGAACTCCCTGTTCAACAGCAGCACTCTGAGTCCCCTGCTCAACAGCATCCTTCATTTCTGCCTCCATGCATTATGCAAGCTTTCACCTCTAGCCTTCAGTACGTATTCTACCCTGCGTGAGTATGTCAATCGCTGATGGGCCTACGTAGAGGTCAAGCTGGGATCCCTGGGAGCCAGCTTCAGTGCACGGATTCTCTTGGCATCATGGCCGGGGATGAAACCAACTTCTCGAATATAACACGTACCCACTTCCATGGCGAACATAGCAACGATTGGAACATTTACCACACCGACAATATCGATAACGACGGAGCGCTAGGCTCAGCGATGTGTGATCAGCGGGAAAATGATCGGCTAGGCCAACGAGGCTTATTTGAACAAAGGCACCACTCGCTCCCTCTGCCTCATCAACAGTTTTTATCTGGTGAATACCTAATCGAGGCCAAGAGCCCCGATATTTTGGCTCGCCAAGGCCAGCGAAAAAGTCCACGTAAAGGACGTCGCCGTCGGAAGCGAGCCCTGACATCCTCCCGACAAGATCGTGGGCTTGACAGCGAAGAGGTCCTCAGGTATGCTTGGAACATTCCATGCAATAATCTGACCGGCAACGCAACGAACTGCTCGGAAGTCGCTGACGTTTGACCAGTTCACCCCGCAAAGAAGTATCTAGTTTGCGAGACGACGCAGTCAACAAGTATTGCGCGTGGCAGTGTACAAAGGTCGAAGCTCGATCCAGAAACAAAACTATGATCTGGCACGGGGGTTGACCATAGATCATGGACTTGATCTTGAGCTACTACAAATTAACCAGGACAGCGCAGTCCGGTTATATATGAGACACGGAGTGGTTGAGGGCGTGGCGTTTCGCTGGGTTCATGATATTGGGGCTTTTCTAGACCAGTCTTCTGAAGGAAACAATCTCCAGCGCGAGATCCTCAGTAAGAACACTCTGGGATCTGGACTTGACGATTAGGGGGCTGGCAAGCCTGTGATTTAAAAACGGAAGAAAATGTTTACAGGGCACTGGATAAAACGAGCACTGAGCCCCACTGTACAAGAATAAGGAAGATTGTCGGGAGGTCTGTA